GGGGGGGGGTTGCTCTATGTTAATCTAGCGATTGAATCCATTATACTAAGGAATTCTTCTTATTTTGGTTTAATTTATAGCTCTTGATATATAGTTCAGCTTCAAAGTATATCTCTGTAGGCTGTAGCCGATTATGTAAAGTAGAATTGGGAATAATGAAGTATATAAAGCTTTATTAGTATTGTAGATTTTTCTTTTTCTTTTAAAGCTGAAATGGCCAACAGAGTCCTGCCTTCCTAATCCACGCGAGATTTAGAGCTTTTAGATATTTTTGGTGGTATAGTTGATGATTGAATAGCTTCAAATCTAGGAGGCGCGAAAAAATTGTGGGGGGTTACTGGGTTGCTTATCGTTATGTTATAAGCCTTAATAACAAAACCTAAGTCATCTCCAAACCCCCGATGGTCTAGTTGGATATGGCGTTCGGCTGTAATGGAATATTCACATATAACCGAAAGGTCGCCGGCTCGATTCCGGCTCGGGGGATGAGATTCACTTTTTGATATTTTTGTCATTTGGTTCCGTGGGTCAAGCATTATACTCCTTGAGTGCACCTTCTATTGACTACCTTCATAGAATTCAAGAGAATTCCAATGTGTTCTTGCATCTCCATACAAAAGTTTAGCACTGTGTGATGATTGTAGGTGACACTCTTTGAAATACTGGCTCTTATGACATGATATATCATAACTCACTCGGGATACTATCAAATTCGGAGTCATGCATAGATATCTAGGGACTAGTAGTAGAATAAATGCTGCGATGTACTTTGCTTCCATGCGCACGTGGCCTAGGGTAACGTTGATTGGGTGCCAGTGGGCGCAGCATATGCTTGCATATCTGCGATGTGGCCGAATCGAAGGAAGCGTCTATAACAAGTCTCGCAAAGGAATAATTACGTTTAGGTAACAAACTAACGGCTGAAATCAATAACTGTATTATACAAGGGGAGGGACATGCAAGTTAACTGCACAGCAGCAAGCAAAATTATAGCTAGAACATCACTTGGGGGGAAGCCTGGCCAAAAGGGGTGTATCTCCAAAAATAACGGCAACTGAGAGAGCACCTAATGAAAGGTTATCAAAAACATATCTCGCTTCCCCCGAGCCGGAATCGAGCCGGCGACCTTTCGGTTATATGTGAATATTCCATTACAGCCGAACGCCATATCCAACTAGACCATCGGGGGTTTGGAGACAATTTAAAGTTTGTTAAAAAGCACTATAGAGAACGCCATGTAATCGGTACCACCTTCACACCACCCATGTTTTCAACATGCTTCAATTTCTTAGGTGATTAAAACATCAGCCATATCACCAAAAACACCTAAATTATCAAGGCCACACATTGAACAGGAAGGCCGAGGCCTACCTGTTATATACCGGCCCTAAAAGAAAGATATACTTAGTAGTCTTGAAACGGAAGCTAAGATATTTAATCTATCTGAATCTACCCTGCACAGTCGCCTAAACGGAGCTTCTTTTATAAAACAGTAGACGCGCCAATGCTTATAAGTTGACCGTCAGTAAAGAGAAATCGCTGAAGTAGTAGGCTATATTCTAAATAAGCGTAGAGTACCTCCCCGGCCAGCAACTGTACAAGAATTGGCCCAATCCTGCTTTCAGAACGAGATACTATATCTTCCCTTAATATTGTAGAAGAGAAATAGATATATATATATACCAAACACGCACCTAAACTTAAAACCTGCCTTTTATGTCATTATAACTACTAGTATGCTAAAGTCGAGAATTCTAAGATTCTAGAAACTTGATTCTAGCAAATACATAAGACTATTTAAAGATATAGGATAGTGTTAAGCGGATTGATGCTTAGCCTTGATATTGTAAGTAATATTTACAGTATTTTGTAGCAATAATTTTACCTCAAATGTAATTTAATTGCTGCGTGCATTGTACACTCCCTAGGCTATGAATAGCTGTATACTTCTTAGATTATTTCATATTGTTCCTTAACTGGATTATCCTATGTGCTCCTGCCATAGCGCAGCCCATTACCAACAGTGACAAAACGAAAACGAAAAGGTCCTTACCCATCGGGAAATAATGGGGGCTAAGGAAACAAAAGAGAGGATATTTCCTTCTTGGTTTAGACTACAAGCTTTCCTAGCTGTTTACAGAGGCGACCATATCCCGTATCAAGAAAAGTAGTCGCAGACTACGAGGCTGCCTAATAAATATGGTACCCAGAAACTAGAATCACCACCCTTATAACTTCCTACTTTAATTTTCCAACATAAGCCACGATTATCTAAATATATTTATATCACTGGTCGCCTTTCTTGGTCTGAGTATCTCTGTTAAATATATTTTTATCATCGAGCCATCCTCTATATAGGCTGTCAGTCTCTCTATAACTTCTAGTATTAGTTCTCTATATAAAATTATTTATAGCTCTCCAGATACTGTTCACTATTTATTAATTTAAATTATTATCCTATGTGCTCCAGCACAAGACACAGTTCAAATCACTATGCCGCAGCTTTGCCCAATAGTTCTAGATAGATACAAACAGAACAGTAAATCTCCTGTTATCTAGCTGCACAGTCCTCCCAAGGCAGAAGTCGTCGCGGGCAACATTTCCCTATAGGCGGCGTTATATTTCCTGTTATGGATCTGGACAGCAATACAGCTCGTAAAGGCGGCGAGAAAAGGATATAGCAATTACAAAGAAATTCTAGAAAAGTCGTGTCGTGTTAATTCTCTGCCCTGGTCTCGTTCTTCTGCCGCCTTTCGCTGACACTCCTCTGCTTCTTTCCTCCTCTCGGCTTCCATTAGAAAAAGTACTTTATAATCGAGAGAGCTTTTGCTATCCATATATTCTATTAAGACTGTCAAACAGTACCAGTTTCGGTCGAGTCTTGCTCAGGCAACGTGTAAATACAGTAGTTGACCAAGGGAGTCGGTCAAGGTTTTCTTCCGTAAAAATGTGATGGGCTTCAAATTATCAGAGATAAATGAAGAATAGCAGGGCAAGGTGCTAATATTAATACACTACGTACAGGCAATGGCGCATATCTCGGACCGAAGCATACTCAATGATTTGTTTGGAATTGAGTATCAAACATAGACCGCGCCCGAGAACGGAGATTTTGATCATGTAACAGTGCATGTGGAGTGATCAAATATATCCGTTCAGGCTACCGGTACTTTCCTCGGCAGCTACTATAAAACATCTATCAGCCATCATATACGGACAACAGAGAGGAATAAATCACCACATCAAACTTACCACCTGACATCAAGTGCTACCGATTTCGCGTGAAAAATGAAGAACCTCCCGATTAACCAAATAAGCAAAACAAAGTAACGCCTCGGAGGAAAGAGTGCCCAGTCATCGGCCGAAAGTTATTAGCTCACCGACAGCGCAACAAAACAAGCATAAAACTAACTCCCTCTCAACTCACGTTTTACTTATGTGATAGCAAGCCCAACTCATGGTAACGTTTATTAGAGACAATAAATCAATTATCAACACAGTTATAGTAGACAAGAATTATATACTATGTGTTTCTCTGCAGGACGGCCAGATAGGTGCGAGCGTAGATGAAAAATCTGAAGAACGAGAAAGGCGGCGGCAAGGACTAGATAGATCTTCCTTCTTCTGTTTACTAGATACATCACGAATAGCACTCACTCAAACAGTAGAAAATGATAACTGTAAACATAACGGTACCAAAACCACTTCAATCGTGCGAAACCTGACTTCAGCATCCCCCCTATATCGGATGCGGCTTCATCGCAGACCTACCCGGAGCACCATAGGGCTGTGTGGGAAGCCCTTGTGCAATTGTGCTTCACTACTTGACCCCTCTGAGCCGGATTGGTTGATCATTAATCACCGACGCTAGTCGTAGAGGCAGTGTTACGCTGTCCAATATGTTCCATATAAATGGCTATTCGAGATAACAGGACCCGACAAAGTATGATTGGACAATAGCCTCTGGTATTTACTAATCTCACTACGATAGCTTCAAGCTACAGAGATTATAATGATACCTTCTCCATTACGGCTATAACCATGATGGGATAAAAAGCCCATGGGGCATCATTGTATGTTCAGTGGCCGGTGGGAACAGACGTCGCCAAGCGTCCGTCATGACTTGCCGGGCAAATCCTTCTATGCTTCAATGTAACGTACCAGCATGCGCCTTCTCGTATTTAATTCGCGCAGCGTTCTGTTTGTGGGTTACCCTTTTTCTCTATGGTTCTGGACTGCATAGGACTGAGACATATCCACATAAAACTTCTGTCAGAACTGGCATTCTGTGACCTTCATAACCACAAAAAGATCAACAGTTACGAAAGTGCGAATAGCATGATTCATACACGGTCTTTGACCAAGACTTAAGGGTTGTTTAATTGGGTGGAAGTATTCCGTCAAGCATGAACATCCGGCGTGCCCATATTGGTATCTCATGTACTACGGGATATCCCACTTTAGAGAACCATCCCCTATTGTGGCTATGTGCACTACCAAACCTAGGTATGGTGGTTTCCCTTCATTTTACCCATGTAGCGAGGGGGTTTAGCTTTGATGGACTCTTGCTCCGATGGTCCGCCAGGCGGATAGCGTGTTCCACTTGAATCCTTGACTTCCGTGTTGCAGCACGTTATCCCCCCTGCTTTATAGAAGGCTCTCGGACATAAGAATTCTGCGAAGAGCTACCGCATACGTAGGATGTATAGGAACTGGGAACAATACCTCTCAAGCCTAAGACTTAAGTGATGTACTGTGAGTAGGGGTACTGTCCTATATGCACGCAGCATGGCCTTCCACGCGCCTCATGCAAAGCACAACGTAGGAACATTTGTGACTGGTGGAGACTTGCTGGATCCCACTGCCCAGTAGACACTTGCCCGTCCCGTCCGCTAGGGAATAGGAGCAACGTTTCCTGGGCACGGAACGATACGTTTGTTGGGTGTTTCGTTTTCTTCGCTTCAGAATTCCCCTATTTCTCCCACTGTCTACTATTTAATTTCCCATATATGTTGATTCCGGCGGCATTTGCTTTCGAATCTATTCACCCACCCACAATATGATACTTTTTCTGCTGTTTGCGCGATTTTCTTCGTTGTGGTTGGTGCTGTTTGGCACACCGACCGCAGCCCTCTCGCTAGATGTCCATGATAGCGGTGAGTGGCCTCGCACTTAGTATATCCCCACTGCAGAATTATCCTGCTCATGCAGAAGAGTTAGCATCCCTGAAAGATGCAGCGAGTACCGCAGCCCGCGGGATGCTGAAATATTATCATGGCAATGAACCCGGCAAAACCCCGGGCACACTGGAAGGAACGTGGTGGGAAGCGGGGGCTATGTTTATGACACTGGTGCAATACTGGCGTGTTAGCGGTGATTCTTCTCACAATGATCTTACAACACAAGGCCTTCAATGGCAGTCTGGAGATGACCATGACTATCTTCCTGCCAATAGCTCTGCTTACCTGGTTCGTTGGCCCTTTTACCTCCCCCCTCCCCCTATGGACAGACATACTGAACGAGTGCTTACAAACTCATATCGACATGATAGGGTAACGACGACCAGATGTTCTGGGGCCTCGCGGCAATGACCTGTGCGGAGACGAAATATCCTGATGTCTCTGATGGGCCATCGTGGCTGTCCCTTGTGCAAGGTGTCTTCAACAACCAAATCCCGCGTTGGGAGATGCAAACCTGCCATGGTGGTCTGCGATGGCAGATACACTCATGGCTGCCCGGGTATGACCTCAAGAACACAATTTCAAATGGCGGATTATTCCAGATAGCTGCCCGCTTGGCTCGGTACACAGGGGACCAGAAGTATGCAGACTGGGCGACGAAGATCTGGGACTGGATGGCTAGTAGTCCACTGCTAGACACGAAGACATGGAATGTGGCCGATACAACATCTGTGACTAATGATTGTAAGACCAACGGCAACGAGCAGTGGACATACAACTACGGGACGTTGCTTAGCGGGGCGGCGTACATGTACAACCTGGTCAGCGGTTCCTGTTTTGAAGCTATACGAGATAAGAGCCACGCTAACAAAAAGATCGCAGACCAACGGAGACCCGAAATGGCTCGACGCCGTCGATGGATTACTCAACGCCTCCCTTCGAATTTTCTTTCCCCCGATGTACAACAACGGCACGGTCCTGTCCGAGGTATCATGCGAGACAATCGAGACCTGTGACAGGAACCAGATGTGTTTCAAAGGGTTCCTGTCCATCTGGATGGCCTACACAGCCACCCTAGTTCCCTCCACTGCGGAGCGGATTATCCCCCGGCTGCAAGGGTCAGCGGAAGCCGCAGCGAGGCAGTGTTCCGGAGGCCAGAGTGGGACCGAATGTGGGGTCCGATGGTACGAGGACAAGTGGGATGGGAAGAACGGTTTGGAGACTCAGATGAGCTCCCTGAGCATTTTTACGGCAAACCTTATGCTTCAGTCGAATGAGCAGCCTGTAACTTCCTCAACTGGAGGAGAGAGTAAAAGTGACCCCAATGCAGGAACTGGAGGCAAGTCAAAGAATCCAGAGTCACCACGCAAGATTACAACCGGTGATCGAGCGGGCGCTTGGATTATAACTTTAGTGGTGGGGATTGCATGCATTGCTATCATAGTGTGGTTGGTTTGGGAGTAGTGACCATCCTCACTGGAGCTATGTATATGTACACTCGTTCTTGCTCCGACGATATACTAGGCCCTGCTATACGTGTAGCATAAGCCACGAAGCTAGCCAAGCGAGTAGAAGGTGCATCTTGGGTTATCAAGGCCAGATAAAGAACCGGAATGCTTCCTTTCAAGCCCTGTATCTTCATCATAAACGCGTATATATCATTCTAACTGCACGATTATGTTGGACTATTCAGGGCTTCAGATGAAGCTTTCTTTTATATTTTGTTCAGTTTCCCTTATAATAGTTACTCATTGATTACAAAGGATTGTATATTATAATTTAGAAGGTTGTCTTGATGAGCTCAGCTCCCTACAAAGTAAATTCATTATTAGAAATCTGCTAGTATTGGGTTGATCTAGGACGATTATTATTATTTTTATTTTTCATTTTTTTTTTGTAATCAGCGGACCGGCCGCTAATAAGAAAATAATAGACGTGCTTCGACTGGATACCGGAATCTTGGCTATGTAGTCGGCAGCTTGCCGATAGCATCGGCAAGCTGCCGACGCCCATGCAATACAGGCTTGAAACCCACATCGTGCGTGAATTAAACAAAATGCCTAGCCAAATCACATAATCAAGACACATTAGAATAACTCCTGATCCTAGTGAACCCTGAAGCAAGATATTCAAGAGTCGCCTCGCAGGACGAATAATCAGGTTAAGAACTACGGCCCCTGAATATGGTATGAAATAGGCTAATAGCATAATACATCAGAGGAAATGTTAGCAACCGTTTCTTGACAGATTAAATGGACCAATTAGCTAGCCAAACGTCTGCCAAGCGTTCATGAATCTCACGAACAGGTGTGATAGACGGTATCGTAAGGTGATTGACTGGAAAATGTGGCCAGTGCGCGCTCATCGGAGGAGAAAGAGAAAGATCTGCCAACGACCATCCGCGCGCAGATTCCGCCTTATGAGCAGAATATGTCTGCCTGACGAGGCTTATTTTCCCGAAGCCAAGAAGAATATGTGGATCTTCGAGCTACGGAGATGAGTATAGCGCCGTGCTTGGCAGGGCAATCCAACCCCACAGAAGGGCAGTGCTATAAACGAACCAACATAAAATATGGTGTGTTCCACGGAACTTTAGCGTTTCGGATACAGAAAACGGTAGATATCATGAACTTTTAGCATAGTGTCTTACTTGTGCTGTGGGTACCAGGGATATGGACAGGGCTGCGACAGATAGTTGTGATGCTATACTCTGGGTAGAGTGAGGGTGAAAGTACCGTACAGGTCAAAAAGCCCCCTAAAATTGAACTGTCTTATGTATCAAATGTACAATTAGCTGGATTGAACTAGGTTACTTTGGGCCGAATTTTCTTTGGGCCTGGTAGGTCAGGAGCCTTAGTGTTGTTATCGTGTCGACCTAAATTGGCTCGAGTTCGGGGCGGGTCAGAGTAGAGGTTATTACTTGTTAGGCTTGAATGCGGTGCAGCGACGATACAATACAACGCCTAGAATGGCAAAGGTAGTTGGGCATATGCTTTATAGATGATGCAGTTAATGGTAGTTAGAAACAGAAGTAATCATTCTGAAATAAGAGCCGATTGGAAGGCTGTTATGGCAGGACTGCCGATTCTAAGAAAGCAGCACGCGTATCCTTCATAGATTTGGCCTCCTTTTTCTCCAGCCTGAGCCGAGTTTCTTCCTCTATGTCAGCAACCTCTGGACTTGTTCTATCGTTGTATTTCACCTCCACCTTACCGTTTCCCTCCCCACCGTTATACGAAACCCGCCGTTTGTCGGTTGGGTAGCGGTTGATGTACACACCAGTCAAGACGAAGCTGAGCTCTCGACAGTTGTCCACCCACACACCTGGATTCCTGCCATTTGTGGCGACCTTACGGGGGGTCAAAGTAATGACAAGGTGCGTGTTGACTCCTTCATCGGTCTTGCGAAAGCTGAGTATTGGGTTGAAACGAATATTTGAGAGCATATACGCTCCTGGGCCAATATATGACTTCATCAAAGCGGCGCCACCTTCCGCGTTGGGGTCTTTGAGGGGTAGAGTGAACCTGACATACTCGAGATATGTATCAAATGATCCCCAGCCACTTCGCATAACGATGTGAAAAATGAGGTCCTGGGGGATGTTTGTCATGTAGATATCCCGGTTGCCTGGATTATCCATAGACCGCACTTTGTATGCAAAGCTTGGACGATTATCGAGAGGCTCAGGTGATGCAGGAAGAGGGAGAGGAACCGAGGACTCAGCTTCTTCGGCGAAGGGATTAACCCGCACCACCTGGGTGGCCAGGGAGTTTCGACCGTTGATGCCGATCTTTAACCTCCACGCGAAGGAGTTCATCTGGGTAGCCATCAATGCTGATGTTGCAAATTCATCCTCGAAGCGAGTCGTGTCCATCTCGCTTTGTGCGGTCTCCAAGTAGAGTTGAGCATAATACTCCATTGACAGTCGGCGTACCTCAACTGATGGGTCGTCTGGGTCAGTCCAGTGATAAATAACCCCGGGCCCCTCTTCAGGATCATTGGAATCACCAGGCTCGCCGGACCCATCGGACTGCTCCTCTTGATTCCAGAAATAGGTTTTCATGGGTTCATTGACATCATCTCCATCCTCTTTCCAGAGATTAGTCGTATATGCTCTCCGGAAGGGTATCTTGATCGTGTCAGCATCTACCGTAGCTCCTGCCACAAATGATTGTTGATGTGGAGGCTGTGTGAACCAGAGTTCATCCCATGTGTTGGCAGAAGGGCGTTTAGAGAACAAACAGAACATCGTGTCCACATTCACGATGTCATGACGTAGAAGGATGAGCTCTTCTTGCTTTATGAGTTTACCACCCCGTCGGATGTCAACCTTCAGGTCAGGAAACTTGGTTATCAAGGCGGATCGAACATAGCATCCATAAATCGGCAATGGAGGCCGTTCACCATCGAGCTCAGAGATTGGTGTTGTGCGGTAGAGGTAGATGGCGTGGAAAATTGCTTTGCGGACCTTGTCATCCTCCTGATCGATGTAGTTGGCCAAACTCAAGGCTCCATCAATCATTGCGTTCATCCATCGGGTGTCAACTTCGAAAAATCGAACACTCTCCTCCGGGAGATGACCACCGTCGGTGACTAGGTAATGGGTGGGGATGTTAGAAAACACGAGCCGGTCAAGCACCCATTTGAGAACAGTCATCCAATCGGCTGAGAACGGGGTGTTGAATTCATTATATGGGTCCTTGGATGGATTATCAGGGTTCTTATCATCACAAGCACTGGAAATCTCTCTGGCAGCTCGAAGAAAGTGGGCCTCAGTTGCGTCTTCCTCCTCCCCATGGATGTTGATACGGGATCGACCAGCATAGGATCGATCGATTGGTTTCACTGATGGGCGAAACCAACGCCGGGATCTCGATTCAGAGTTGGTCACAGACAGCTGTCTACTGTGTTGCAAGGACTGGAGCGACTGCACCAGGGATGGAACTGCCGCAATGATCTGCTCGCGAGAGCGCTCGGATAGGAGTTCCAACTGGTAGTAATACATCCCAAGATCGTAGATGTTTTTGCGTACCTGCCCGAGACTGGTGACGAACGATTGATCGGCAATGGCCATGGTTCGACCAAGCTGCCAAGCAGCCGAGTAGGTGATATCCATGATGCCTAGCTGTTTGTCGAGGACCTGAAGATCGCTGCCGGAGTTTGAAAGACGATCCCAAATGTCTTCTGCGGCAATATTTGCAACTGGGATGAATGCTCCTCGTGTAAAGCAGGCGGTCGATTCCCCTGTTTTGACTCGATAACGAGCCATAGTGTAGCCATTCTGCAAGCGGGTCAAAACTCTTTCCTTGATATTAGGCGGAATGTCGGAGTCCGGTAGGTCTTTTGCCTCGACGGCCGCGTGTAACATCTGGGCGGACTCTCCCAACTTTACAAACTGGTTGTAGACGTTTGGTGTTGTCGACGGATAGCAGCTGTAAGACCAACTGTATAGGGAAGACATGGCCACAAATTCAGAAGTATCCGCCCAATTCATATGCTCCACACCGTAGATCGAGACCAGATGAGCAATACAGTTTGTTGGTTCGGTTGCCGAGGTAGGTCCTGTCCGATGCGAAAGAATCACACTGTAGGATTGCTGATCGTCTTCGGTGGCGGTTTTGGCGGCAACTGCCATGCCGGTGGAATTGATGTCCCGTCGATGGGCCAGAAATCGATAAGGCCGGACATCGGGGCCGCTACCCTTCTTCAGGTTTCCCTCGTGGTCCTGCTCGCAGAAAAGAGTGGTGAAAAGCTCCCTCCGGAGGAAGATGAGCTCTGTCGTGGTGTCCTCGGTGGTGGTAGGCGTCGGCTTCACTGGTGATGCTGTCTTCTGCAGCTTCTCAATGTCCTTCACTCGCACCGGTACCGTTAGGCCTTTTGTCTGCCTGACATCCTCTTCGCCTTTAATCCTTCCAAAGATCCCATGGCTTTCGGCCAAATCGTCGCTCGATAACTCGAGCTCGTCCTTGGTGAAAACAAAAACGGCCAGCCACGGGACTCGGCTTCGTTCCGCCTCATAATCCGGCTCCTGATCAAGATTGCTGCCAGCCCATTCCCACGGCGTGCTGGGTGTGTTGAATACAATATGTGGCAGGGCCTCTGCCCATTCCTTATGCCCCTGAGGCGGATAGACCGAGTGGACTTCGCCTTCTGGCAGTTTAAACAGGAATTTGTCGACAAAGAATGGCTGGGTACCCTCCAGCTTCTTGTCTGCTCCGTCGATCTCTTGCGTGGTTTTGATGGTATAACCTCCCCCGTAAAGACCGGGGGTCATATAAGAGTGAAGACGCTGGTGCCCTGCCTCGAGATAGTCATCGTCAACAGCCAACAAGCCTTGGCTTCGAAGCAAAGTTCGTGCATGGCGAAAGGCAAGATATCGTGGAGAAAGGTTTTTGCGTCTTCGGGCCACCATGGTGCTATTCAACACCCTGAGCGAGGACCACTGAATTGATTTCAAGAGGAAAGAAGTACAATGGACATGGACAGTTACGAGCAATCCGTCATGGGCTGGCAATTGACCCAGATATCGGGGTGCACTCTTCTGTAGATCCGAAAGCCAGGCGGGAGAATTACCCTTGTGGGGGCGGGGAGCCGGACAAAAGGACACTGTGCATGGTGAGGGGATAGGAAGAAGAAGCTGCATACATGACAGGAAGTAGAGCTGCATGATACATCACATGCCTGCTGGAGCACCATGCAGGGTGACGAGTGATGTGAGGTAGATATGTCATGTCACGTCAGCTCATGCAATGTCGATGTAGCCATAATACAGGGCCAATACAGCTCTCGGTACGCGAGCTGACCATACCACGTTGTATTAATCATTCCAGTGACGATGGGAGCAGCAAAAAAATAGATATAAGCGCGTTTCTCCTTCTCCTTGGGCTATATCCACCTCTCCATCCTTATCTATCCCTGACTTCTACATCTGACCCAAGCCCCCGTCTCAAGATGTCTATGGCTGTGATTCAAAACCCGCTGGCTCCTCCGTCAGCTGCAGAGGCACTCGTCTTCTTCTATTCGACTCCCCATGAAAATGTTGTCAATCTCGGTGTGCGTCGTCCGACGTTGTTGAGCGATGCGGAAGCCTCTCCTTACAGGGACTACAACACTGAGACTCATGTGGACGTCGTACCTAGCGCGGGCCTTGAGATTGCATTCTACAATGGCGCAGTATGTCTTGAGCGTTCCATATCTAGAACAGAAAAGATTGACCTAACCTGGAAAACTTACAGCCTCGAGTGTTTGGTTTCACAAAGGCTGAGCCCGATGATGATTCTGATCACGAGCTCGGTAGTGATAAGGCTGAAGAGGCCGGAAAACCAACTACTTATAGGCGCCTCACTCAGCTGAGCCCTACTGTGACTCCAATTGACGCCCGTAATTCAGACTCGGTGGCCATCTTCACAAACGCACTTACATCTGTCTATGACAGAAAGAATGCATACCTCTTTGCCATAAGGTCGGTCGCATGGTCGAAAAGGACGACAGAATTTAGCAAGCTGACAGTTCTCACAGACTCATAGATGGTAAAGATGACGAAGTGGATTTGGTTTATTATACTTTGACTGCAACAAATGCTTATGCCAAGGTCTATTCTCTGAGAGCTCGGTGGGATACTCAATTGGCCGCAATTATTACACCCACCGGCGAACATCGGTTCTTTTATCAACCCGATGCGAATACCATCAGATACAGAGATGTTGAACAAGATGACTGTAAGTCGACCTATTCCCCTCCCCACCCCCCCCACCTCTCTCTCTCTCTCTATATATATATAGAAAGAGTTGACTGAGAATCGCAGTCAATGACGTCCCTGGTGTGGATGCTTGGGAAAATACCCCAATTGCCGTGACCCACTCGTACGATAGCGAAGGCAAGGTGAATCCCAAATACCTCTATCTCTACTATGTGGAACAGAAAAACAATCGAGTTCATCGGACGAGATACGAGTATGAGAAAAAGGTGGACAGGGAAGAGGATAAGTGGGATAAGGCGCCACTCCAGCTGGACACCAGAGAAATCAAAGAGCCTTGGAGGTGGATCAAGGTGATTCCATTTGATGACGAGAAGAATGTTGCTTTCTTCTTCGATCACGAAAACACCCTCTACAAACTCGAGGATTATCTCTCCAATGCTCCCGCTCGGGTGGTGCCTGTGAAGCCGGATAACTAGATGGCAGCTTTCTCTGCTTTTGTCTGTAGACTGACCGTTCTATTCTTGCTCGATTCACACACCCTCAATCAATAAAATTACCATACTATCTCTGCATACTTCGTTTTCTTTCCACCCCCGTAGACTCCTCCATCTCCAGTCTAATGGCGAAATTCCCTCATGTCCGATCTTCCGCTGGATTGAGTGCGCTAGGCCGAGGATGCAGAGTCCGTGCGGGTGTGAAGCCCTACGGCAGCACGGACTGCGAGCCATGATGCAAGCCCTGGTGGGTCTCACCATGAACAACGCATCATCGGCTGCAGAAGGCCATCGCCCACTTGGAACCATGGGAAGACAAATTCCCCGACGGGCCGTCCCTAGAGCTATCCACAAAACAATAAAAAGCGCCAGCTTGTCCATCGTCGAGGAAGCCCCCCCAAAGAGCATGAGCATATATTCCTACGCTCCCCATCGAAAAAGAGTCTGATCCCCTTATTCGGTACTTTTCGATTCTCTTCTAGCTCCAGCATGGCTTCCTCGGATTCCCCTCTGCTACTGCCGGTCAAGCTGGATGCGTTTGTGCTGAACCCGGCAGTGTGCGATGGGGTCGAGGCCGACGAGGCCAAAATCGCGCCGATCACGCAGCCTAACTATAGCTATCTTCGCCTTCAGCCCAACATGCTGCAGAATGACGTGATTCGCCCGATTGAACTCCACGCCGCCGCCCCACACGACAAAAATACTCGAATCTCCCACTTGGGGCTGGTCAATGGGGAGGTGCCAAACACCCCGCAGCTCCGCAAAGAGCGACTGGGCGTGTATCTGCACTGGATGATCCCTCGACTCTATCGCACGGGAGCAGCAGCCACTGGGCCAGAAGCGGACCGATCCAGGCGTCGACGAGGTTTGACCCCTCACCTGGGGCTGCATGACGAGCCAGCACTGCAGATGCCCATCTTCCCCGAGACGCCCAATCGGTGGCTGGTCGTCCGTCGCCTCCGCCAGGATGAGCCGGTGGTGCCCGCGGATGCGAACTGTAAGCCCGTGACCGCCTGGATAGTGGAGAGCGACTGGATGAGAACGATTGACGAGTTCAATGACACCAACGACGATCGGTGGGACATTGAAGCCAGCGTGTCACCTTACCTAAAGACAGGAGGCCTCGATCCTGATGAAGGATCCACCCTCAATCAGCAGGCGGAAGTCTTCATTGGGGGCCGTGAGACGGCTGCAGAATGGGATGCAGCAGTCAGTGCAAAGCGAAAGCGCGTCGATCTAGGCATCCTCAACTCGTCCAATCAACTCTTCGCCGATTACCAACCCCACAACACCAATGTCTTTTCGACGATCGACACGTTCCGGTGCGATGATGGAAAGTATCTCACCCAGGCCACAGCAGACTACTTCGTGCTGGGCTGGCATGCTGAAGAGCGTAAGGATCCCTTGCATCTCAAGGACCCCATGAAGCGAAGCGATCGGCTTGATGCCCTGTCACTTGCCCTGCATGGAGCCGATGCAGAAGACCCTGCGGAAGAGGTCAAGAAGTGGCTGGAGGCGGAGGAGAGCGCCAGAGTGCTCTGTCATGGAGCCATGTACAACGTGAAATGGGATTTTAGCAAAAAGCCCACCACTGTCCCTGCCGACGAGGTTGCGCGAAATTTCCAAGCCAATGAGCCGGTGGCGGTCGGCACAACTGCTTTAGACGCGTTATTGGCGTACGTCAGACCCCATCAGGTGAAGGATGCGGAAGATGTACTCGCACAACTCGGCCCATTGCTGCAGGCGCAGAGCGAAAGCATTGAGGACCGTCGTGCGGCGGCGGATGAGGTCCAGAACTACAATTTTGCACGCTACGCCGGGGGTTCCAAATACATGTTCGAGATCGACCCAAATCACCCGGCTGCACCCCCGTCGCCTACCGCGGTCAAGCTGCTGGCAAAGCTCAATGAGAGTCAGACACTGCAGGACGCTACAACCAGGCAGCTGCAGCAACTTCGATGGGATCTCTTCGCCCTGTGGTGGAGATTCTCTACCGACAAGCAGCGACAGGAGCAGACGGAGAAGTACCAGGCGGAGACGGACAAGCTTCGGAGGAAAGTCGTTGCCCTGGAGGATGCTCTCAAAGTTCAGGAAAGCGTGATCCAAGAAACCCGAAGCGAGATCAATGAGGATGTGTCGGTAGAGCTCAAGGAGGCAACCGGGCCGGCCTTTAGCCAACAGCAGGACCCGAGCATCCTCCTGGGCAATGTCCAATCGGGCTGGCCTCTGGACTACCTGGATGCTCTCAAAGTACGCCTGGCAACCCACATTGACGAGACTGACTTACCGGAGATTCCCGAGACGGATGACTATGGGTTTCGATGCTTACCGGACGACACGGTAGAGAAGACCGCAAAGCTACTGGCACGCGAATTCATACGCTATGGCAGCAAGCAACCCCAGAGCTACCGTCAGGAGTCAGAATTCACTCCCCCGTTGTATCACGATCATGAGCGCGATCAGTGGAAGGATCAGCAGCCTTGGTTCCCACTTTTCTTGGAGTGGGAAGCCGAGTACGTCCACATCGACTATGAACACTGGGATATGGAAGGGAAGAAAATTGGGAATGACGACCCCATATTCCGATACAGAGTCAAACCAAAGCCGGTATGGGATCTCGACATCACAGATAGACGAACGATCACGGGGAGGATTCTTCTCCTTCCCCAGGCGGCGTTTTCGCTACGGGCGCAACTTGAACGTCTGTACAGCAGCACACCCGAAGAGGTCCTTGACAAGACTGGCACAACAAAGGAGCAACGAGAGGCCCTCCTGAATGATGTCACTAAGCTGCCTTTCATCTCAGCCCCCCTGGACGGATTCACAAACCATCTGCTCACGCTGGCGGAAGGTAGCCATCTCAAGCCTAACAACCGACACCCAGGTGGACAGCCACAGCCTCTAGAAGATGCCTACATGTACTCAAAGGATATTGGCATTGGTGAAACGGAGGTCGCAAAGATGGGGCTGGAGACCGACCTAACCCCGTACGCATCATTGGCCCGGCTCTCCCACACCGAAGACAATGATCTTCCTGCCTTTAAGCCAGTTACCCACGGTCAATTCAAGTTCACCAAGCTAAACGTTTTTGACAAGTTTGGCCAAGCTGCCGCGGTCATTGATCCTCGTCGAAATGTCGACGCATATGTATGTCCGTGTATTGGGGAATACTACGAGCCGCAGGTGTACAATGACGGCTCCAAAGATTGGCCCAATGTGGTCGATGAGCCGAGGAATCCCGGAGAATGTGAGTTTCTTCAGATGCCCCCCAGCATCAACCAGCCATCACGGTTGCATATGAACTTTATCACTCTCGAAGAGTACGAAGAACAGCCTTACTGGCGGCCAGTCACGGAGTGGGAGAATCCAATTTGGGGCTGGGTGTTGGTTAACTATGTCGACTACGGTGTTCAATTCTTTCAGCCCGATGGCACCTTTTATCGTGAAGTCCGTGTTGCCGCACCAAATCACCCAGATGGTAGCGTAGCTACGGATAAATGGCTACCTTTTGAGCCTCCCTCCGCCGATGAGCCTCGCCAGCTCGACCGATTGATCGATCAGTTTACCAACAAGGAGGTCAACGAGGACAGCCGCGAATATCTGCTCGCTTTTATGAACCTGATCACTGCCGCTACCCTGCGTGCAAAGTCTGTCCCTGGCGCGTACAGCCAGTGTGTCAATTCCCTGATCGGTCGACCGCTTGCCCTGGTCAATGCTGGCATCTCTCTCGAGCTGGGAAGTGACGCCAAACGCGGTCAATCTACATTCGAAGACCAGGAATTTAAGCGTTTGCCACGGACCCTGATACCGGAGAAGGGAACCTCCGTGAATCCCCCGCCGCAGTATGCATTTCCCCTGAAGCTAGGCGACAAAGATCGAGCTTACGATGGTCTGGTGGGGTACTTCCGGGCTTTCGACCAAGTCGAAAAAGAAAACGCCCTAGACCTTGGAGACCTCTACACACCATACGAGTTCACCTCGAAACAGATCCATCTGATTGGCAACGAGAATTTCCCAAAACTTCGAGCCTTCTGGCTCGATCCAGAGGAATACGCGGCAAAGGAGGACGGCGCAGCGAAGTTCACCATTGACCGGCACAGACAGCAAACAGCCTATTGCTTTCTGATGGACCCCTTCAGCCCGGTTAATGCTTATTCGAGTATTCTCCCCATTGAGCCGTTATCCTTGCCGTCCTGGACGTGGGAATCGGCCCTGAAGCGCATGACGGCTTTCTTCCACTTTGGCCCCCTCGTAGTGGCCGATGATGTTCCCAAATATATTCCCTCCAAGCGCTTGAAACCAAACTACGACCTGACCAAGGAGGGAGAGAAGAGTGAGACGGTAGCTGGGAATAACATCAAACTGCCTTCGTTGGGTGTGGCGGAATGGAGCTGGCTCCAACCCTATCCCAACCCCGATGCTAGGGATACTACGGCCGTGGTTTCTCCGGCAGACGAGGACGGTAAAGCGGAAGAGGTGTATATGGCCCTCGATATTGGAACGATTGACCCAGTGCCTACGTGGGAAAAGGGACCTCTGACGGCGGTGGAAGGGTTTTTGCAGATGAAGCGAGCTATTACTGCGCCAGAGGTGTAGGGTTTTCTTTGTCTTTTTTTTTTTGTTTTCCACCCTCCTTTTCATCCTTCTAGATAGCCAGACATAGGACCGTAGAGCTGAAATTGACTATGGGTTTCTCTTTCTGTTTCCACTCTTGCTACTGTAGACGCTTGTAGGTGCTTCGAAACCCTCTATCTGAGAGACACATCAGCTTTACACCTTCCGACCGTAACCGCAGACCAATCTGTTGCCGTCTTTCCCCTGAGGTACGAAATTTCACAGATGTAGTGACCTATCACAATACCGTAGTTTTAGTAGTCCGTGTACTCCTACACCCAGACACCCAGTAACCTTCCCTCTGACAAATTACCCGGCATGTGCAGAACCCTAAGGGTACTCTGCTAATGTTTCCTGTTTAGGAGAAGCCGAGAACATGACGCGAGATGCAATATTTCCCTGTTTCTGCACATGCAGGCTGAATGACAGCACACCTCACAGCTGTGCAATTGTCCACACTTTGGCATCATCTCTATGCGTTACTGGTTCTTACGGTTTTCTTTCACGACATGTACTCGAATTACAAACTTGGTAATGATGGCTTCAGCTGACGGATGGAGGGTGGACTATGTCGCCACTGCACGCGCATGATGAGTTGTCGTTTCCCTCTTCTGTGACCGGATGCATTGATTGTGCCAAAGACGCATGCGGGCAGGAGGACCAGCGGATGAGGGGAACCTACCGTATTTTGTTGAGAGAGAGGAAGTAGGAGGAGAAGACGAGGACGATGACTGCACTGACTGGGCCTTGGTTGAGTCCCAGGTGTCTGTCCATCCATTAGGTGATGGGATTCCTAAATCTGAGGATAATGCGCATACAGACAAGACCGCCTGCCGCTTTCCATCTTGGTTTCATAAGAGAATTAATCACTGCCCCCGATTGCCCGATGATCCGTGTGGTATAGAGACCGAAACATTCACACAGAGCTTTGCTGTGCCCCCCCAACAGCCCGCTGGTGAATAGAGCAGCGTTTCCATCATGTCGAAGTTCAGGGTTGATTCCATTCATATATCGGTTGTGATTGGAGATTCTGCAATCCATCTTCTCGTTGAGGACGCAAAGGGAAAACCAAAGGTCCTTGCGGCAGTTTTGATAGACGGAGGAGATGACATCGCTGGTGGCGGTGGTGCTGCTGCGGCGGATGGAGACAGCGACGGGGACGATGATGGACAACAACAAGGCGACCGGGATACTAGATTTGTCTATCTCCGCCGCAAAGCTAAGAAGCATTCCATTCTCTCCACTATCACTTGGATTGAAAAGAAATACGACTGCAGCGAGATGGCCAATAAACGACTCCAATTTGATTCGATTGTGATCACCCATTGGGACAGGGATCACTACCATGGCATTGGCAACATCCTCATGACTGAGGCTCGGGGAGGCAATGTGCCAACCAAGCTTTCCTGGTTGAAATGGGGCCCTAATAATACCCCAGAGACCTACCTCTATGCCCCCACGCATCCTGCGACCAAAACAGAGCTGCTGGGAACTTTTACATTTGATACAGAAGATACGGAAAAAAAGGTGATTCGCATTGCCTACAAGAAGGAAGGGGAAAAGAAGAAGACTCACGAGCCATTTGCCCAATTTCGCAGCACTGGGACACCGAAAAATAAAACGGCAGACGGTCTATGGGGCGTCTTGGGAGTGAACTTTTTCAACAACAAAAAGCTTACAGACGAGACCCCGGATGATACCGTCAAACCAACAGCTTTGGTTAAAAGTAATCCTCCCGATAACCCTGCTCACCCAGCCTTGTACTGTGTCGGGGTACGGTATTCCTGTCTTGTCAAAGGCACTTGGGACCTGACTGGCCGAAGGTCAAGCGATGATGCTACGGCAAAAGGCCATAACCCTCATATTGTTCCCGGGCAGCGTGCCGGCGAAATCAACGAGGTCTCGATCGCGGCAATGGTCATGTGGAAAGGAGTTGACAGCAAGAGCCCTCCTCGTGTATCTCATTATTTTGCGGGAGATCTCGGTCAGGACGAAGAAGATCCGATTTTAACCTGGTTGGAAAGCGATAATATCAACCGCATTACAAGCATGAAAGCAAGTCATCATGGAGCAACTAATGGTACTCCAATCGACATGTTTAAGAGGTTTCAGCCCGTGAACACCTACCTCCCATCTTCGACCAAGGTTAAACACGGCCATCCTTGTAAGCATCTGGGCCCCCCTAGATATTTCTTTTCCGATGCTAACCGTATATCCCTTCTAGCGTGGGAGTTTGTATTCGCCTGGAATTTGTACTGCGCGGCGAGGGCTGCCAGAGAAAAGGTAGCTCGCTTGGTATGCGCCGCTTATCCCCCGTACCTCTGGCAGGAGAATGGAAAATATAATGATAAGGATCTTGCCGACATGCGTCTATTGGGCCTCGGTGAGAAAGGTGCGGAATTCCGAGACACGCTAAGGGCACAGCTGAAAGAAATCAACGACGCCCGGTCCGGACGTTTTCCGGTGGATAATGAGTACGAGAAGTACGTTGATAAAGATGAAGACACGCAGCGAAGATACATAGCAGAGCGCCTGGCCGCGATTCTGAAATTACGTGCTTTCCCGACGGCAGATTATCATCCAGCGTTGAACTCGGGCTATGTCAAGAGGGGCAGTTGCAAAAATAAACAACAAGGACTGGATCTGGTACTGATACGATCGTATGCCGAAGAGACGAAGGACGGCGACTTTCTTTACAAAGACTCTGGCAGCGATGAGCTAGCTAAAATCCCAGCCATTACGAATAACACATTGAGAAGGTCATCCCGTTTGAAAGATCAGAACCAGCAAGCAACTCGTACTAAACGAAAGACCAACCAGTCCGTACCGCCGGGTGTTCCCAAAAAAAAGAAGTCGAAAAAAGGTTACAAAGCTGGAGATGGGGAAACTGATGCCTGGCTGCTTGGTGTGGTCGAGGTTTCTGAAGGCACCTTCTATGTGCCCCCCGAAACAAACCCAGACGAAATGGGCCCGGGAGACGATGACGAGGAGGACGAAGATGATTCTTCGATCGCCGCCCCTACCAGCATCCAGGGGGTGGTGAACCGAGTCTCAACTCAAGCTAGGAGGCATATCACCGGGGATCCAATCATCCCTGCGAACGGGTACTATCTCTTCACAAGCACCGTTGATCCAAGTGACATCGATGCGGATATCGAGCACCAGATCCTCCCGCCGGGTCCTCTGGATGAATTTGTCGACGCACTGCATTGTGGCGTCCTTTGTCTGGTAGAAAAGCCAGAGGTCAGCGCAGAAACTACTCTAGAGGAAGGGGTGGATGAATGGGGATGTTGGATTCAAGACGTTCTCGGCGCTCAGACCGTGTCTGTGGTTCGAGGGGCTGATGATGATGAAGGAGGGTTCACGATCAACAGCTGGAGAATGCAGATTCCTCTTCAACCGATTGAAAGTGAATTGGAAAATCCTGATCCTACCCTGCTGGACTTAACCACAGACCTTGCTGTCCTGGAGAAAACCTTTGGGCCCACGGAATTTGTCGATGAAAATGGTTTTTTGACCGAAAGCAACGTGCTGGTCTTCGGGCTGTCCGGAGTCGCCAGCGGGCCTACATCCGTGGCCATTAACAAAATCATCGAATTCATCGGCCTCCGAGATTGGTTCGGGGATCCAAGTGGCAGTGATGATATTAACCCATTCATAGCCGTCCTGGGTATGTTGGAGGTGAAAGTGCCCTCGACCGTGGATGAGGCTGAGGAAGGCCGAAACGCGGTTTGGTTTACCCCGGGGGATACCTACAGGACAACCATCCGTCTACAATTACCGTTACAGACGGGGGGACAGGCGGAGCTCAATGAGAAATTTTTGCAACCGTTCAAAATCTCCTTGGATGAGACTACCGTGATCGCGCGGCGATCAAGCACCTGGTCGACCAAACGGGACGACGTCGTGGTCGAAACCCAAGGCAGTCTGATTCTTCGAGCGAGGGCAAAGGTCAACGGTGATATTACGCTAGACGCGATATTGGAGTTCAATGCAACCCTGACGACTATCACTCTAACGAATTCTACCCTCGGCGCTGTCACAATGGACAGCATTCTCGGTTGGGTGGCGAATGCTCTAGGACTCGAATCCAGTTTTGATTTCATGAAGCTCCAAGATCGAGAGACATCTTCGTTTCGGCTGGGACAGTTTGAGTTTCGTCGAATTATTCTTGACCTGGTTAGAGACCCCGTCACGGGCAAAGAGACTATATCCAGCTTCAGCTTGCATGCGGAGGTCACAATGCGCCTCGGGCAGCACGCAGCTCCGATCCTATTTCACCTTACCTATACGTACGATGCCGTTGATGGGAGTACCGTGCGAGCTCGTCTGTGGGGGAGTAAGTTGGCCACTATACCCTAATACTAAAAGACGTTGAACGCTGACAGCTACAGGGCCTCCATCCAAACCTAGTGAAACTGAACAGCTTGTCCAACCAGAATACGAGGACTTTCACTATCTGGCGCCTATTACTATCGAAGAAGCAGATTGGGTGTCGACCCTGGATCTCATCGCCATTGGAGGATTTGAGACAGCTCCAGCCTTCCTACCCACCCAGGTTCTCCAGGCTGAATTCATTGCCAACCAGGAAGGTCTTTACATGACCGGCACTCTGGTTCCAAAGCCAGCAGAGGGAAGTGGCACGGTTCCAATCTTTACCATAGCAGATGCTACCCTTGAGATTTGGTATGACTGGGAGCAGAGCCAGCCCGTTGCCCGTGTGGCGGGCCCGGGATTCAGTGGTGGGTTCTACGTCAAGGCGTTGTTATCGCAACCCAAGGGCTCGAGATATGGTGCGCCCACCCAGATAACCGGAGCGGTCACATATGAGTCCAAGGACGAAGAGTGGCAGTTATACGGGTCAATGGATCATTTTTTTGCCTCGACGTTGGCTCAATTCTTCTCCGAGGATGTCCGAGGGGCAGTCATTCCTATGATTGAATCCATCGAGGTGAGGGGTCTCGAAGTGATCTATTCATTTTCCAATCAAGCGCCGTCAGAATTCGCAATCAGGGGAAATCTCGTTCTAGACCAGCATGTCTTCTCCTTGGCATATACGCATTCCGGGAACACTTGGGACTTTACTGCGGGCCTCAGAATCGACCAAGACCCATCGGTCGAATCGAATGCGGGGGGTATGCTGGCCTCTTTCCTTGGCGAAGACTTGAAACTGCCTGAATTCTTGGTAAATATCATGGTTCCAACAAGCACCAGAGACTTGATGGAGATCAAGATCGAGAGTAAAAAGCTGAACGGCAATATTCGAAACAGTGTGATCGTGATCGCCACATGGTTGATGGACGATCGCCTTTTGCAGTTTATACAATTCCGCCAGGTTCCAGAGCAGGGAGGCAAACCAGGCCCTGTCCGGCGAATTGTCATCGCCTCACTGTCAGCATTTCCTGCAGTAAACGTCCCTATGATCGGCGATATCACCCAGCCATTCGACCAGGCCCTTTTTCTTTGGGCCCGAGCAGAAGGCGGTGATGGAATTCCAAAGGGGGAATTAGAAGGCATCAATGATATTCTACGCAACTCCACTCCGGCGAAGCCTACAGTGCCATTCAAGGTCCTCGGCAATAGGGATAGGGATGACAATGACGCAGATGTTGTTCTGGCTAATGGACTACACTTCATGGTCGTCGCATTTACCACCCGCGGTTTCTCAGAGGTCATCATTGATTATACCTTCCAGACCGGCAAGGAATCAGGAACCAAGGCAGTGATTTCCCAAGGAGATACTGAGAAGGGGGGGAGAATGGAGCCTTTCTCTAAAAATGTCGGTCCACTCCAGATCAAGAGCCTTGGACTACGCTACTCAACGGGCTTATATAACGATGAATCGATCCTCTCGATTCGAATTGATGCCTCGATTATGGTGGGTCCAATAGAATTCTCCCTGGTAGGGTTCAGCATCGACTTGAATTTCACCAACGGGACGAGCTTGCATAGCCCACCGGGCCCCGAGTTCACTCTGGAAGGACTGCAGGCCGTCTATGACCGGCCGCCGATTGAGATTGCTGGAATGCTACATATTGGAAAAGAACCTGAGCGGGAATATTACCAAGGTGCCTTGATGATCAGCTACATGCCTTGGCAGTTCCAAGCCGCTGGGTATTGGGGCTACACGACGAAGAAGGGTATTGAACAATTCGAGACGGTGTTTGTCTACTGTGTCCTCCGTGGTCCGCTCATCACATTCCAATTTGTGAGCATTGAAGGGATCTGTGGGGGCTTTGGCTATAATTCGAAACTCACATACCCCACAGCGAAAGAAGTGATCGACTTTCCTTTGATCAAGGACGGGGCCACTCCAGGGCGACCCGATGGTGATACCCCCCTCCAAGCCTTAGAGAATATGCTTGATACGAAATGGTTTGCGCCGCAGGACAAGTCATTTTGGGTTGCTGCCGGTCTCACGGTGAAGGCGTTTCAGATCCTCCATGTACAGGCAGTCGTTGCCGTCCAATGGAACCCATATGTAGAGCTTGGTATATTTGCAGTGGCTACCGCCAGTATCCCAGGAGGAAAGAGTGGGCGACAATTCGCCTTTGTGCAGCTGGGAATTGTGGCCACGGTGAACCTTGAAAGTGGTATCCTGAAGGTTGAGGGTGAACTGACGCCCGCGTCTTACATCCTGGACCCCAGCTGCCACTTATCGGGAGGGTTTGCCTTGTATAGCTGGTTTGACAGCAAGGATACCAACCTGCGTGGTGACTGGGTGTTTACTATCGGTGGCTATCACCCTTCCTATCAGAAACCATCTCAATATCCCGCGGTCGACCGTTTAGGAATCAGTTGGCAGTTTGGAAAATCAGTCAGCATCACCGGCAACGCGTACTTTGCCATTACGCCAAAGACCTGCATGGGAGGTGGCAGATTAGAGCTAAAGCTCTCTCTGAACCCGCTCTATGCATGGTTTATCGCCTTTGTCGACTTCCTGATCAATTACAAGCCCTTCTTTTTCATGGCCGAAGGAGGCGTCTCGGTTGGGGTTCAGTTCACCCTGGACCTCTGGCTGGTTACGATCAAGATTCATGTCGAGCTCAGCGCTCGTTTATACATCCAAGGACCGCCCATCAGTGGCACCGTTCACGTGAACTTCTATGTCTTTGGTTTCGATATTGACTTTGGCACCAAGTCTTCGGAGACGTCGCGGCCCTTGGAACTGGATGAATTCATCGAGCTCGTCTGCCAGACTCATACCGAGGGTCCCACAGCCCTTCTCGCTTCCTCATCGCAGGGCCACATCGCCCAGGCTGTAGACGGGCCCAACAGTGAGGGCCATGTGTTCGCCGTCGAAGAGGGACTCATACCTCTGGAGCAAATCGAGTCCACACCTAGCACGGGTCAGTGGATCGTGGATATGGCCACGTTCGAGTTTTCTGTCAACTGCAAGTTTCCCATCGAGAACGCTACCGTGGTGACATTGAAGGTCTCCGGCGAGGAAAATGGGAGCAGGGACGTGTATCCAAGTGAAAAGGTGGACACGTTGAGCGCAAGACCGATGCACAAGACAGGCAGCATCAGCTCGATCTTGACCATTACCATCCAGCGCGATGGGGAGAATGAACTATTAGAAGAGAAAGAGCCAGATCCTATCTGGGATGATAATGAAGCTATCTACGGTGACGTTCCTGCCGCCCTTTTTGGCAAGTGTGAGTGTACGATCCATTCATCCGTCCAGGAACTGCTAGACTAATTTGCTTTTAGATGATGCCTCCACAGACCCGGGTCGGGTCAAGAACCCCCAGTCTCTATTGAAAGGAACATCCGAGAAGACACTCCGCGTCATGACAGGTGTTCGACTCCGCCGACCGGGTGACAAATTCTCCAAAGATCCAGATGTCACCTATAAGGTCGAGTTGTTTCAGATTTCCAATATCACACCCATGTATAAACTTCCCGAAAGTGAAGCACGCTCAGAGGCCCTCGAAGGAGTTCCGTGGCCAGATACGCCTGGTTCCAATAACTGGGAGACGGTAAGAAATCAATGGAAGAGCCCGGGTGGCGGAGAGCGCGCGGGCCAACAGGCTGCTGATCTATGGCAAGAGCTGGGTTTGACCCGCTTGGGCTGGGATACAGAGCGTATCAAGGGCTCTGATTCCACCTTTACCGGGTGCCAACCACAGAGACTCATCGACAATCTTGAGAAACATTATCTGTGGGCACCGCTGCTGACTCGTGGATAGACAGTGTATATCTGTGAGATATATCTTGGTTTATATTCAAAATAAGTAGATGCAATAGCGATCTCTTTTTGTTGACGGTACCTGGACATAGGTAGGCGGATGTGGCACAGCAGAGTAACATCATCCATGTAGTGCATCGACAAACAATGTTGTCGCTTCGCGTGGGCCAAAAGGAGATTTTATAGCTTTAACCGTGACATGGCGCATTCTTGGGAGTGTGTCTAAAAGTAGTATCTAGTGTGCACTATTTCTATTTGAAATACACAAAATATATTTCGAATATCTTCACAATCAGCTCAGCCCTGATTCAACCATATATTATGCCACATCAATAATAATTAATGTGTACTCTATAATCTGATCACCGGGGTTGCTTTAGGTCAGATCCTTACCTACGAAAGCCGCTTCTACTGCATTGTTTATAAATGTGCGTCTTGATTCGACCTCTTCCATTGAACTTCTAACTTTTCACAACTCAATATGCCTGAGTTTACTGTTTTCAAAGGGTCCCCGAACGGAGAAATCGTGGAATGTCGGACCCGACGCCCTGATCCCAGAGGAGATGAAGTACTCGTTCGGGTTACGCATTCTGGTCTTTGTGGAACCGATGAACACTACCGGCACGCCGATATTGTCCTTGGACACGAAGGAGCAGGATTGGTGAAATCAGTTGGGTCCAATGTCATCTCATTAAAGGTGTAAGCGCTCATTCTGTTCATTATCTGGGAATTTTATTTGCTAAGACACGTCGTTAAAACGCAGCCGTGATCGTGTGGGTTGGGGGTATGAGCATGGGAGCTGTCGTCAATGCAAGCATTGTCTACGTGGAGAGGAACTGTACTATGCTCAACGACGAATTTATGGGGAGTGTACGCCGGACCAAGGATCCTTTGCTCACGCGGGTATCTGGCCAGAGGACTTTCTCTACAAGATACCAGATGGAATCTCCAATGCAGAAGCCGCTCCTTTGATGTGCGCTGGAAGTGCTGTGTTTTCTCCACTTCAAAAATTCAAGGTTGCACCTACTGAACGCGTCGGTATCCTCGGGGTCGGTGGTTTAGGCCACCTTGCGATCCAGTTCGCTGCGAAAATGGGCTGTCAAGTCGTGGTGCTATCGGGAACAGAGACCAAAAAAGGGGAAGCGATGGCGCTTGGAGCCAGTGAGTTCTATGTTTTCAAGGACTATAGCCCAACGATGAAACCTCTGGATCATCTTCTGGTGACCTCAGCTCAACAGCCAAAATGGGAGTTAATCTGCCAGATTATGGCCCATGGGGGCACTATTTATGCCCTCACTGTGGACATGGAGGAAATGAGATTTCCATATCCGCAGCTGGTCATGAAAGCATTACGCATTCAGGGCAGTCTACCGGCAGCTAGAGAAAGTCAGCGCGAAATGTTGGAATTTACTGCCCGCCACAAAATCAAGCCTATTACGATGGTCTTTCCACTGAACCGGGAGGGGATAGAAGAAGCGATGGAAGTCCTTCGGCAAGGCAAAATGAGATACAGGGGTGTGCTTGCCCATCGAATGTGAGAAGCAAATGTCGAATCTCTGACTCCTCCAGGTGCAGTTCGACATAATACTCTTAGGTATTTTGAATCAACACTCCTTCTATCGTTATGATATAGTCAATGCAAATATCTACCACGAGAATTAGCTTATTTTGAGGAGGTTTCTGGATTTGCCGCAAGCTATGGCAAATACTTCTATGATTAGTCGTCTGAGGTTCATTCAACACCGCTAAGGCTTTTAAGGGGAAATAAATTCTTCAGATTGTCGTGTAGCCCAGCGGAGATAGTTATGGCCACGGCCAATTGTCCAACACACTACTCTGTAACATGTCTTACCGATTTGTGCAGAGGCGATATCCCAGTAGTGTATTCATGGCGCAGCATATGTGTCTTAAAATGTAGTTATCATGAGTATGAAACCTCGCTTGCCTAAGCACGGGACGCTAAAGCCTAAAAGGGTGTAACTCGAACGGAATATTTGATGGGACATATGAAGATATATTTTGTTTGGAGGGTATAACGCTTAAAACAGCTGTGTATGCAGGGAGAAGGGAGAAGATATATTTCTCGTATATAACAGCTAAGTTAAAATTCACTCTTATCATGCATGCCCTAGTCCCTGTGGGAAATCGAACACCATATCCGGATCTGTGACGGCCTTTAGCAACTTCAAACGTTCTAGATTCTCACCATAGTATGCCTGTCCAAAATCAGCGAGATAGGGGTCAATGTAGTTCTGGTACGCATGCCACTGGCCACTCGGCTTAATTTGTTTGATAGTGTCTGCAATATTGGTAATTTTCTTCAGCCCTTCTTCATGGGCGTCTGTATTGTTGAAGCCAGGAAACATATTTGAGAAGATTTGGACAAGAAACAAACTATCTCGATGGATAAAGGATGTATCGTCGGCTATCGGTCGAAGGTTCGTTCTTGAGCCTGGTCCATTCAAATCAAAGGATACATGGGTTTGTGTATCTTTGACGAGTTTTGCGTCCTGAATAGCGTCTATGATGAGCTCCGCATGAGAAAGTGTATAACTGGGGGAGCCGTCATCCACCAGGGACTGAGCGTAATATGGCTGAGGTGTACTGGGCTCATCCAACGAGCCCATCAAATCTGTGAGAGCGGCGACCCAGTCGTCGAATTCTTTGATGTAGGATGTACTGTTGACTGGCTTTACTCCGCGTTCTGCCAGTTTGCTCAATAATCTATCCAGCACTGGTAGAAATGCGGCGCGTTCTCCTAGATACTGCCCAGTAAACGAGCAAATATTCCCGGCATCAGCGTCGGATATAACGACCTCTCCTCCCAGCTCGACCGGAAGACCATCAGGATTATTGGCAGGCATAGAGCCTAGCTCCTGGACTGTCGATAACACTTGCGCACAGTCAGGCTTGGACGAGAAACTGATTCCATAGTTCACAACTGCAGTGGGAGCTGCTTCCAAAGCATACGTAAATGATGTCACGATGCCGAAATTGTTAGCCCCAGCTCCTCTTAACGCCCACCACAGCTCCGCATCCATCCCTACCGAACTAGAGTTTAGGAGCTTGATATTCCCCTCAACATCAACGAATTCTAGCGACACGACTACCAGCAAAGTTAGCATGCTGCTATTTACTCGTATAAACCTCTTTGACATATCCTGACACACTTACTACGGTCAACAAGCCAACCCCATTTCCGCGATGTGAACCCATAACCACCACCTAAGGAATGCCCTGCAATTCCAACTCCGGGACAGGTCCCGTGTGGCAGGGCATATCCTTTCCGACCCATTGCAACCGCCAACGGACCCAAAGTTTGACCAAATTGAACAGTAACTTCCTTCTTCTCGTCGTCGAAACTGGTCTCCCGCATCTGACTGGAATCGATGACAACCTCACCCGCGAAACCGTACGCAGCATAGCTATGACCTCCTCCTCGAGTACTGAGCTTGACATTCCCTTTCTCCACCGCCACACAGCGTACGCTAGCTGCCACCTCCTCTGGTAGCGTGGGTATCACGATAACTTCTGGATGCGGCTGATAGTTTGCATTCTGCGGACGGGATAATGTATCATAGTCCAAGTTTCCAGGATACACCACGGTCGCTCCAGTATTGTTTAAGCATTGTTGCAGCGAGACCGGAAGAGCCAGAGTATCCGTTAAAGCAGTCGCACGGGCAGATGAGAAGCCGAGTGCGTATGTCAGTATTAACGCTAGTTGCTTTCTTGACATCCCCCTTAAGATTTAGTGGCCCACGCACAACGATGTGCTGTGGACTGCAGCAGAGAGGCTTCTGGTATCTTCGATATGTTTAAGTTTGAGCCGCTGGCCACGTTGTATTCCCTAGTGACAGCTATTCGCAGTACTATTGGCACTGGTATTTTACACCCAAAGGGATGATTAAATGCAAGAAAACTCTTAGCATTTCAACTGCGCGGTTTCGCCCGTGATAATTAGGATTGCCATTAATTTAGGGGGTGTATGCAAGGGGGCGCATACCAAGCAGCCCCTGAAAAATGCAATGTGATCGATCATCATGACCCGTGTCTACCTACAGAGAATGGAAATACTGATGTTGATCAACCAGATTTAAACTTTTTCTTTAACAGTCCAAAATGTACGTTCACTGATCCAAGATTATATGGCGTACCAACAAGTCTCTGATCGACCAACCTTACCTTCCTGAATGCTTTTGGCTATTTACAAGCTCTGGCAAACCCTTCTTATTAGGAACTGGAGATATATATTAGGGAGCTGTACTGCTTGCTCCAGGTTTGGAACTTCCTTTGCTGTAAAATGACACGAGAAGTGACATATCATTGGTGTGCCATTGCCCATTGGCCTAGAGCTTCAAGGTTGAACAGACATCGCACTGTGCATGATTACCTTAGTCCAATACAACCTTCAATGTGTGGGCATGGGCTCGGAAAAATCCTCCAGGACATATTAGACGTGCAGGGCTAGTAAGCCAAAAACAAAAGGTCAAATCCGCTTATCATTACTCCATACACACTAGAATTGGCCCGTGATATCTATTCTTTACCTCGGGATCCTATCAAAGAAGTGGACAACTGAAACCATTTGAAAATATATCTAGGTAGAAAGAGAAGAGGGAAGATTCATTCCAATACTATGCTCATTATTATTCAGTTACTGATAGACACTTTCTTCTCTTCCTGCTTCTGTATACTTACCTAGTTCAAAGGCTATCTCCCTTCTATGGCAGAGCCTCCGTCCCATCGTTCATGGGGTAGAAGGATAAATGCCTAGCGTTTAGAAGTCCCATCTCTTTGAGAATAACCTTAGAAGTATTCAACGTCATACAAAAGGTTACAATGTCTGAGTGCAATAGAAAGAGGATTCCTTGGTTTAGGGAGCTAAAAAAGCATTGCCACTCTGCCGTACTCCTCCCAGAACCCAAGAGGGGCGCGCGATCGTGCTTAGATGAATACTATATGAACCAATGATCAATGTAGTTCTGGAAAATACACGAGACCATATGAATAAGCCATTAATATCGCCCTAAGACTGGCAGACTATTGACTACCTATGTCTGGGATACAGAGAAGGTGGTGGACAGTCAGATCACAGAAATGTAACGGAGGACCTATTGATCAATGCAGAGCCATCACGAGTCATCCACATAGAGCATGGTGACATAACTCCTCATCCAGAGTTCTGCTCCCGAAGATACGGCAAGCCCCCGTCATTTCTTCCCACTGGAAGGGGTATAAGTCGATCCGCCCTTGCCATCATTGTAATAGGTGCTGCCGTTGGAGTTGGAGTAATAGTAGGATCCGTTGCTACTCTATGTTAGCAGGGTACCCAAACTTTTGAGAAGTGGATTGACCTGTTGGAGTAGTGGTATGCATCGCCGCGACCAGAACCGTTCGAATCCGACCCAGTGCCATAGTCACGCGAGCAATAGTGATTGCCCTGGATTACAAAGCGTATCAGTAAGCTTCTGTGGTTGGACATTATCACGAAGAAAAAGATGATGAAGGGGTACGTACCTGGCTGTTCGTGCCAGAGCCAGTGTAAGAGTAACCTTTGCCAGAGCTCGACATGATTATAACTTAGGAGAACTGAGTGACAAGAGATTAGAAAGGTTGTGAAGAAGGTAGATATGGTGGAGTAACAAGAAAGGAGGACATAGTCTGGGGAATGGCGGGGTTTAAATACTGTCAAAAACGTCAGTCACGCCACGTCCCCGATGGAGCCTAGTATGTGAGCTCCTTGTTTTGCAGGTTGTACAAACATCATTCTAGCCCTTCACAGCTTGCTGGAAGCTTCAACTTCACGTCATGGCTACCCCACCCTGTCGTTGTTCTCCAAGCCCTCACCTCCATGAATTCCCAAGATGGAAACTAAACTGGAACAGCAGTCTGTTCAGATATGGAAATCACATCCTTCAGAGGTCTCTGACCCAAAAGGACAGGAGACCAATTGTGCATGACACCTTTTCTTTCTACGGGAAGTAGATGGTGAAGAGCAATTTCGTGCTCCAGAATTCCCTCCGGGGGACAAGATTGGCGGAGTCCCTGAAGGATTTCATGGAGTGCCAGGAGATGCATATTGGTGCATACGTTGATCAAATTGTTCTGGAACTGCTGTCTTTCGAACGCGATGAGGCGGAAGCCAATCTATGTCACACGTTTAGGAAGATTAGGTGCCCAGCTTGATACTGTGAATTCGACTGTTTTCCTTCACATGGCAGTGAGTCCTAAATACTTCCCTGTAATCAAGGCCAACCCAACCAAACAATTTATTGATTCCTGCCGCAAATTGCTTGGCCGTTTCGCCTACACCTGATGGGTTATGTCTGCCTCTTCCCATTGGATAAATCCACCGAGCTCTGAGAATGCGCAATCTTAGACGGTGTCCTAGGTTTGAAAAATCACATGAGTCGTAACTTTATAGCCCCAAGACATGGTGAAGGATGGTGCCGGAATCTCCGTTTCAGAAGTTACTCGCCCACATGGGAAGGTGGACCACATCATACTGATCAAGAAGAGTGGCTGGTGGATCGACAAAAGAATCCATTTTATCAAACCTAAGGGTAGGCGGACACTGCTCCTTGAGAGGAAATTGCTCATGGGAGATATCGAATCCGTCCAGTTGAGTGGTCGGTGGGAGGTACTTTGCTGCTGCAAAGAGCCAGACTCTATATTATCGTCAAAAGTGAATATTCCTAAGATAGAACCATATATACCCTGTTCCAGTTCCGAGCTCTGCAATTCTCAAGTTATCATTGATGGGAATACAAGGGTAGACTATATAGCCTGTGTGAAGCCTCCGGAGTAAATGCTGGGCGTCCAAACTAGTAGTTTAGGTTAGCCTTCCTTTCTCCCACAGCACTATTCGAATCATCAAATTGAAAAAAAAATAAGAAAAAAGAAAAAGAAAAAAGAAAAAGAAAAAAGAAAAAGAAAAAAGAAAAAGAAAAAAGGGACCTGAACACACCGGACTGAGTGGAATATATCCCGACCTAATGGGTAGCTGTCTGCTCCAGCCATGCTGTATATGCATAAGTGGTGGGCTTCAGAGGTACCAGGCGAGGTTGAGATAGTAGTTGGAAGAACTGGATACTGCGTCACTTATCCCTTGCATCTGCATCTGTCATCATATAGAACCTTATCAGCACCTTTTAGTACCATAAATATCGTTATATATACTTAGGTATGCCAGATAGCACTCGGTAATAATATTCGACTTTCTGTGTTGGCTTATGAAGGGAAATCTGGTAAAAAGAATAACGCCATACGAGTCAATCTTCATGCTTATATTACCTGACACATTCCACTAAAAATTGGAAGAAGCTGCGGTACAGTATCGACATTTAAAATGTCAAAAAGCAGGGATGAAACGGGTTTGGTTAATATGATCATATGCCTTTCCCTCCGATAGGGGAGACCCCTAGTCATCCTTGGAAATTCATTGCCCTACCGCTGCATTGCTATTACGTACCAGGTGAATAGCTAAAATGATCAGCTAAGGGTTCTTGCATCCGACTTATGAATGAAGTCTATATATCGAAGTATCCAGAAATAAAACAAATTCAATATACAAGAATAAGACTCCGTAAATACAAGAGCAACATCAAATATCAAGAACAGCGACCCCAACCCTGGAATACACAACTTGCGCCATTCTTCACCGGAATACCCGAAAGAAGACGTCTAAGGCTGAATCCAAACTCCAAAATGGGAATGTAGCCCATCCCATCCTCGCGTCCTCGGGAATTCTTTCCAAGTCTGCCGTTAGCTTTCGATAGCAGGCGTCGTGAGTGATATAAGAATTGCAACCTTCTTTGTAAGTTTGACATAAGGCCAAATTCTGTCGTAATCCTATAGTTTATATATGTTACAGGTGGAATTCTCGCAATGGAATCACCCATATCTTCTTGCCACAGGCCATGCTTGTTACGATCATCCTACAGATACTACAAAATGTAAAGGGTATATAAACCCTTCCCTCTCTCACACACCGTTAAAAGTTCCTCAGGCAATTTCCCTAATAATACCGGATGAATTATACCCTAAGCCTGAGTATTCTGCCTTCTGCGTAAGATGACCGCCCTTTCTACCTCCATTACTTTGCGGCCCGGTCCCCCAGATACCCTACAAAGAGTTGCAACTGTGTTGTCGAAACTCAAATCCGATGACTATTACGCATACGAGCGCACTGGTATTTGGTAAATAGGCAATGGACACCGCTCTCCAGTGACAATTGACTCTGAAGGGCGGGATGCAACCCTTTCTGTCAACGGAAAGGATGAAGTGCGATGCATCGCTGGTGGAGTTAGCGATGCTGTGCGAGAATACAGCCCAGCAAATGAGGACTGCGGAACCAAAATCTATGGCTACGTCGGGTTTAGCTATGCCCTACATCTACGGGGCATCCCTCACACTGCTGGGGAATGGTCAATGCTGAGTCTTATGGTCCCACGTACTGAGGTTGTAATTTATCCAGATAGAATTACGCTCAGACCGCCGTGAGATGAACTCGGTCTGTTGGTCAATGATGACACTTGCATTGACCCATCACCAGGCCTGGCCATGGACACAAATGCCAATACCAGAGCAGCTGAATATGTGGAACAAGTCGAGGCTGCGTTGGCAGATATAAGAGGAGAGAAGTATGCGAAAGCTATCCTGTGTGCGTGCTATAAGTTTGTACAAGTATCTATCTAGGATAGAGTGGCATAACCTAACCGTTGTAACCTAGCCATAACCTAACCTAACCGGGGCCGGTTAGGTTAAGGTATAAAAATGTTTAACCGACCTAGGTTAAGGTTAAAACTAGGTTAACCGCGGTTAACCTAGTTCTGCCTGATAAGGCCACAAGGCACCAAACTAAGCCTGTTCTAGTAGGCGGTAGGTTAGGGCTATTTTCTGCCAGCAGTGTTTTAAGCAACCCTAGTTCACCGCCTGCCTAAATAGGTCTAGTTGGCCGCCTCAGGCAGAACTAGGTTAACCGCCGGTTAACCACGGACGGTACAATATATATATATAACCT